GGCCTAAGGTATTGAGCAAAGAACAGTTGTTTTTAAATTTACGTTACACGACTGATCTTCCTGTTAACGTAATTCACTTCTATATACTGTAATAAAATTTTTGAATAAAACTTAACTTTACTTTTGCACAACACTGTAGAAAAGCAAGCAATTAATTCAAATTCTTGTTACTTCATACAAAACGTCTGAATGGAAAGAATTCATTGCAAGATCGAAAAAGCAGAAAAAACTATAAAACAAAAAAAAAAAAATGAAATTTTCTAAACCTGTTTTGTAAGCTGATTTTAAAAACCGTTGATGGTAAGGTCGTGAAAGTTAAAATAAATATATAATCCATGAAACTATACAAAACGATACATATGTGTGTTTAACTGATAACTCATACATTCAATCTGTTTGTTTATTCATCCAAAAAAATTGACACAAATTCTTAGAATATTGTTGAAATCATTTAAACACTGCCGGGTCAGGGTTTTGTTTAACAGTCATGATAAATATTATATAATAGAGAAATATGTAATGAAAAAAAAAAAAAAAACGTTATGCCCGAGTTACTGTAGTTCTTGAGTATTAAACGCTGAAGCATCCTCGTGCCGCAATCAGGAAGAAGCATGAATTATAATACGTATTGTAACTTAAAACTATCTTTAGAAATTTTACGTTTTTATTCGACTCCTTTGGAGATTATGTTCATACCACTGAATTGCGATTTTTAGGATAATACAGGTTTTATTTACAATTCTTAAGCGGTCTGTTTACAAATTAGTTAGAGGATTTAGAAAGCTTCAATTCTTGTTCTAGTCTTGTCCGTTCGAGTATTGCAACTCAACTCTCCTGACACGACTGACTTCGCCAGCACCAATACTCTACATACTCTTTTACAAGCAAGTTACGGACCTAACTTCATCGCGGCATTTTTGTCTTAGCCTCTTTTTCGCCCAAATTTTCTGCTAATTCTTGTAATCTTTTCGCCAACTACCGTTTGCATAAGCCGGGTAAAGAGTCGTTCATCTGTGTTTCGTTGTCCTTTACTTTAGAATTTGGTTTGTTAAAAGATTCTCAAATGTGAGATTTGCGTGACAGTATTTTTACGCAAAAGTTCTTCTCCAGTACAATGTGCTAACCTTTCTCAGGTTGGATTAGATTGTAAATTTAGAACAGCGTGTTTCTGCTTGCGAAGTAGATTAGAAGAACTATTTATAAAGAAATCGTATACACAAGCTTCGATTTAACAAGGCTTGAACACTTCTCTTCGGCTTCTCTTTTAGAATATCCAGATTAAATTGCTTTTTGCTGCGGCAAATTCTCTGCTTGTAAGCACTTCTCACTAGATGTAATTCGGATGTTTGTGTTAATCCCCTTACCTATTCCTCTCTCTATTTCTTTCGCCCACCCACTTCTCCTCGTTCTCTCTTTCTCTCTCTCTCTCTCTCTTCCTATCTATCGCTTCCACTCTCTCTTTTATTAGTCGTTCTATCTGTTCAATTTTCCAGAAATTGCGGTTAGTCTCAACGCCAATCGCCAGATATATAGGTCGTCTTTACTTCTTGACACCGCCAGGCAAACCATCGCAAATCTTAATTTGCTACATATACTTCCCTCAATAAGATCATAGGATGACAAACAAATACAGCATAACTATCAATGAATTCATAGGATGTTCAGGCAGTACCACCCTTCAAACGAAAAGTATCGACATCTTCGACCATTAGCTTGTAAGTTACAATTATTTTGCTAATGCTGGATATGAAATCGAGATTGTTTTGAAAATTGGAAAAATAGTATCACTAAATCAATTGTAACTTCTGAACTAGTATTCGGAATATCATGAAACGCTGACATATTTCGTCTAAAGATTGTTATAAAACGCTGGCGTGTTTTATTTAAAAATTGTTGCTATCTAAAAATCGTATAAATCCGTCAGAAAAGAAAACCTCTATATGTCATCCTGCGAACTTATTGAGTAATGCCTTGTAGGCGAATTTTTGAGACAAAGCAAACTTTCAAATGCAAATTTCAAATAAAGCATTGCTTAATTCAAGCCGTAGGCCACTTAGTTTTCGAAGCATCCTTTGAAAACGGTTAAAGATGGGCTCGCCCTTATCCGTGCGAAATGCAGTAATTTATGGCAATAATGTCAAATTAAAATAATGCTTCTCCTCCAAGATGCTGGTATCTACGTGTGCCCTGTACGATCTACCCATTTGGCAGGACGATGTCTAGCAAAAGTAAGTTAGGTACTGCCAGGCCGTAGATGGTCTATCGATCTATGTCAAGTGATAAACATCTGGCCCATGAACGATCTACTACGACAGACCGGCAGGGATGCATAAATATGCTGCGTACGATATCTCTATTTGTGAGAAGTGTGTATAGTGAAAGTATTTCGCACATTCCACGGCCGTAAAAGGAGCTGCATATTGATGAGAAGAATACCAAACGAAAGTTGTTCGCCTACTTCACGCCATTGAAACCCACATATGGCCTATATGATCTCCTTATTTATATAGAGAATGCATAATAAATGTGTCCCCCCCCCTCCCACCGCCATGATCTATCCATTTGCAAGAGAAATACCGAGTAAAACTACTTTCTGTACTCGTCTACTGAAGTAAGCGGACTATTTTCGCAGCGGCCAAAAATTTTTGTAAGACTTGCTTTCTTCAACCGTGTACTCAATCAGAAATTTTTGTAGAAGACAGTGAAACCGTTATCGTCAACAGGTCAACTATATAAACGCTCTTAATTACACGTCTCTAATCAAGAATAAAATTTTCAAGTCCAGAACGCAGAGTAAAATACAGTGCAGTAACGATAAGAATTAGATAAAGGATGCAACCCATTTTGGAATATAAGCAAATTGCTACCGTGTCATCTTAAATTGTGTACAGTACCTGCCAAAACATTTCATAAAGTTTTTAGTTTTTATTCTTTTGCAATAGGATTGACTATCACTAAAACGATGGAAGAGTAATGTTGAACGTGTGTGACGAACACCATACGTTTATAAAATCTTTAATTCTTATACTAACATACTTTGATATTTGACTAGATATATAAAGTACAGTTATCCTTTTAAAAAAAAATATATTTACTTTTTAAATACATTTTCTTATCAATTTTGCAAAACTATTCCATAAATGATATTATGTGCCCATATGTATATAAAGCGAGAAAAAAAAAGTATATATAAAAAAGTTTACAAATTCTTGCGAAAAATATTTAAAAGAAAAAAACCAAAAAAAAATTTTATGAAATAAAGACAGCAGTAACGAATAATTAGCAATTTGATAATTTTCACTTATGCAACATTTTTGTAACAACTTGTGAACGAGAAATGTTTGCGAATAAATATTAAAAAAAGTAAAACAAAAAAAAAATTCTCAAATAAAAAAGAAGTAAGCAAATTATACTCGGCTGTGACCGAATCTTGTATACCCACCATAATACATTTTATGAACCCAATATCAATGTTATCCTAGCCCAGGGTGATAAAGCTATCCTGTCCATTACTACTAGATCAGCATTAAGGAGTTTTAGAAGGTTTCAGTGAATTATCGAAAATAAATGAAAAATTCAACATTTGATCACTTATCATTTTATATAGGCAACATTGATCTTTGCTCATTTTTAGATGGACAAGTTAAGATTGAGCAGAATAATTTTCGACATTTTATCTTGTTCACCTTATTAGGTGACTTGTTGGCTGAAGACATCCGCGGTTTACAACAAAACTTATAACGCAAACAGCTAATAATTAAGTATGAGTTTCTTACTAATTGTTATCGAATCTATAAACGACTTGGTTTGATTTTTTAAATCGTCTCAACAAAAATTAAGAGAGACAATTTAAGGCAGACTTTTGTTAGTTCCAATTAAGATTTCAGATGATAATCGTGATTTCAATTGACAAACGAGGGAACAAGGACAACTTGAGTCTGCTTTTAAAGGCTAACTTCATATGCTCTTTTTGGAACATATGAAAAAATCGAATAAGAGAAATATCAATATTTACCTAGAGGTATAATTTTGATATCTTCCACCTTCAAGTTCGCAAGAATAGCCGAGCATATAAGAACCGTGACCAACAAGTCAGTATTCGCGGATTCAAATTTCCGTGAGGTAGTGCCTACAGTGGTTGTAGGTACAGTGGGTGTAAGTGTTCGATTAGCTGCGGCCCCTTTATCTTTCTCTGTCTTCTCTTCTTCTTCTTACACGAATAGCGAACATCTCCTGAATGATTGATCATAAAGAGGAAATGGCAAAAAAAAAAATTAATGGATATATTACTTCATGGGCCGCAATTTGTTTATCTAAAACTTTGCATCAATCCTAAATTCAATATTTGTTCTATGACGGAAACTACAGTTTTTCATTTTTATATTATGGGCCAGTTCTTATATTGAAAAAATCTTAAGAGATGGAAGGCTTAGTGTCGATAATCTGCTTTAGATTTAAATTAATGCAGCAGGCGAATTGCGCCCATCCACTAAAGCCAAGCGACTTCAAGTTTTGCTTTTGATTGTAATTTTTGTTATAGGCAGCATATGAATACACAAACCGGGCTAACTGAAGTGAAAATCTCACGTTTATTTCTTATATTTGTTTTAGGCGCAATACTTTTTAGACTCGTTAATATATATGCACTATATATATTGCATGAAACGTATTCTTGAACATTACACACATAACAAAGATGTTAATATGCCTTCATTTTCCGCTAGTGAAGACAAAAAAAATCGAAGGAGAGGTCATTAAACGACAAAAACATTAATGCATAACAATTCATCAAGGAATGAGAGCAAAAAAAAAAACACAAAAAAAAGAAGAAAAAAAAGCAAAAACAAATCTCACGACTTATTTTAAAAGTTACAAAAAGACTTCCGTTTAATGTTCAAAAAACAGAAAAACAAAAAAATTATCTGCAATATCTTCGAGAACATGTGTTTTAAAAACTCTTTAATTTTCTTTTTTCTTTCATTTTCCTTTCTTTTTCATAGCGATCCGAAAATTCAAAAAAAAAAAAACAATGTCCAACAGCCTGCGTCCCTTGAAAATCACTATAGTTGGTGACGGTATGGTAGGCAAGACGTGCCTGCTCATAACCTACACACAAAATGAATTTCCAAAGGAGTACATACCAACCGTTTTCGATAATCATGCCTGCACTATAACTGTCGATGAAAAGGAATACAGCCTCACTTTATGGGATACAGCCGGGCAAGAGGATTACGAACGACTACGACCCTTAAGTTATCCAAACGTAAGATATAACACAAGTTTCATTCTTTTTTTTTTTTTATAAACAACAAGTAAAAGCATTATAACGGGCCACGATCCACCTTTAAATACCCTAACGCAGTTCACTTTCCAATGCATTCACCCAATATCATTCGTTCCGGATAACAATGATATCAATCTTGTCTGTCTAAGCAGCCCACTGAATATTTGGTCAGAAAGCTGGTAAACATAGCGGCTGGCGATGGACAATACTTTTGATAAATTTGTTTTAATCCCCTTTGCACGGAGAGAATAAGGCAACCGTAGTCGAGGGTATTAGTAACAACGAACGCATTTTCGTCTCTTCCTTTAATATCACCAATCACACCCCGCTGCACCTTTCTTTGCCAACAAACTATTTTTCTTCAAATTTATTTCTAATTTCCTTAGCATTTTGGGGCGGGTCACATTTTTATGCTCAACTAGGGTATATTAGGCTAGTACACGGTATAAGGGTATATTAGATTTGTGCAACACTTAAAAGGAATTGAGATAGACCGACCTTTTATTTTACCAATCGACTAAGAAAGTAATTCTAAGCTTTTCTGTCCGTCTGTCCCTCTCATGTTCTTGTGTTCAACCTTGAGATCACAATTTTGAAGATATATTGATGAAGTTTGGTACACTGGTGGCCTAAAGACAAATGTTACCGAAAATGGTTCGAATCGGGCCACTTTTTATGACTGTAAGATGGTGTAGGAGCTATAGTGCTTCACATGTGATTTAGAAATTTCCAAGTTATCGTATTCGAAACCAATTATAAAACTAATTTGCAACATAGTAAGTCTGCAGGTAACGACCAGCGCCATTTTCGTTCTTTCTTGATCCTCACTTCGACAGGATAGCCCCACAAATGAAATAATACGAGCAGAATGAACTTTGTCCAAAGGACCCATGAGTGCTAGGAATACTGAGGAAGGTACAAATAACTGTAAGGTAGTGTAGGGGATTTTGTAGTAGGTCGTGGCTCGTTACAGTCTTTTTACTCCTTTTGTAATCTTCCACAGTTGTTATGACAGAGTAGGAAGAAAGTAAGGGAACAGTTTTAAGCTTAAATTAGTTAATATTTAAAATCAATCTAAAATAGATCAACTCGATCGTATTTTGTCTATATATATGTAGCAATGTTTCAAATGTCCTTCCAATTCTTTATCTAATAAGCAGTACAGTTCAATTTGAAAAAAAAAATATGTTTATTAAAAGAGAACCTTTTTTATTTCTCTCCCTTACAGACTAATTGTTTCCTATTATGCTATTCGATTAGCAGCCGCGCTTCATTTGAAAACATCAAGAGTAAATGGTGGCCCGAAATACGTCATTTTTCCAATAACGTACCGGTAGTGCTGGTGGGTACTAAACTCGATTTACGTATAGCGAATTCCGAGAAATTTGTTACAACAACCGAAGGACGACGTTTACGCAAAGAAATTCATGCTCACTCATTAGTAGAGTGCTCGGCTAAGAAAAAACTTCATCTGAATACCGTCTTTGAAGAGGCAGTACGAGCTGTGGAAAAGAAACCGAAAAATAAACCGCATCAATGTGTGGTGCTATAGTCTCTAAATAGTTTACTTCTACGTTTTTTTCTTCGAGGCCTCGTAAATTGTTGGGTCTAACGTCTCATATCTGATGTGCATGTATATTTATTACATTTAATTATTTCGATTTAAATTCTTTTCTCCTTATTGTTAAATGCTCAGAAAATTGAAAAATATTTTAATTTTTTTTTTGTAATCGAAACATATAAAATAATCAAAACATATAAAACCTGACCAAAGTTGTTTATATTAGGTGTGTAAATAAATTCGTTCCGCTTTTTTTGATCAAATTCAATTTTACTTGAAATATACCACCATTATGGGGGGCTTATGACACTCGACACTTGCCGGTTTGAAGACGAAATAGTCTCCCCATCGACTCAGTTCCACACATCTTCACTTTTTATGAACCGAAACTGAATCTGAATAAGTGGATGGAGACGGACGGACGGACATACGCAAATTTCATCGTTTTTAAGGCAGAAATATTTTCCCCTAACTCTACCACCATCTGTCAATCACCAGGCGTTTCGCAGGTTACTGCAGTTCCACTCCAAGCCAACTACATCATTTCTTCCATAGCTTCAGGTGCATTCTTTTCCCCGTTCCACATCGACCTCTTTAAACGATAGCTTTTAAACAATTGAAATTTACATCATTCAAATTTCACGATCCATGTTATCTAGACCTGATATCTCGGGGAAATTTAACGCATCCGATATCTTTTTTGAAGCAACCAATTGCGGCGCAATGAATGTATTTACATAACCTAATATTTGTTGTTATTAAGCTACGCGTGTAAAAAAAAGATATTTTTATATATCTAAAAAAATTACATTTTTTTTTAAATTTAAAAAATAAAGAAAAAATTATATTTCATAAAATAAAAACGAGTAAATAATTATATTCTACAGTTAAATTAAAAATAATAATAATAATAACAATAATAATAATAATAATTTAAATAGTTTATTACGGCAATAAAGCATTACGCAGCGTTACCTATAAGTAAAAAGGGTGTAAGTAACATTTTTGAAAATTTATAATCAAATTTTTAAAATGAAAAAAATTTTTTTTTTTTTATTTTGAACAATTATTCATTTAAATTTAATTGCCTATGTGATTCGACAATCTTAATAGTTAAACCCTTTGTACTTTCAGCTAAGGATATACATAATTATATATGTAGGTGTATGCAATCATATTTTAATTAATAAATTTAATAAACTAGTCATATGAAACACAAAATACTTCTAGTTTTAGTTGTTTTTGAAGCAAAAGCTTTTCCAAAGCCGGTGCAAAATGATTATCTTCCGAACGATGATATATGTTTACTACTTGTCGCACAGGATACATCAAGCGGATGTTTGAGCAGATGTCCATGGCAGAAGGACTTAAGAAACATTGGCCATTTATTATACTGATCGATAAGCTTGTTTGTCCGTCTATCCGTCTGGTAACTGTCCACATATTATTATATATTGTTACTGTATTCATCCCGGTATTACTTTTGTCAAGTACTGAAGCTTCCATTCTCGAAAAAAAGCTGAATTTACTTCTTTGTATAGCCCTTTCCAACATTTTGGAATAGGATTAGATAATTCTTATATACTATGCGGCGTCAAGTTCACTATCGGATGAATTTTCATTTAACACTGACAAAAGTCGCATAATCGCTGCTCGACGCGTCGAACCGATAATCGACGCAAAACCTGCTAAAATTACAGTCGTGTTTGTACGGCGTTGGCTGCCATAAACCGGCCGCAGATTAAAAAGCAGGGGCTGTATTGCCTAGCCTAGATTTATAAATTTATCGGCCAATCACTTACAATAGCTATAACCAAAGTAAACTCTTACCGTCGTGAGATTCGAAACTCAACATAAACGATAAAAGTTTAATTTCTAAGCTTTCACTCAATGAAGTGTTATGGCGTCCGAGTTATACAAACAGTTATGAAATTTTTGGTGAATAAGATTACGCTAAATGTGACTCTGATATCTCTAAGAAAGTCATGATTCTTATATAAAATGCTTTTAGAGAGATTTCGAAAATGATAATTCGCATTTTCTATGAAATTCGGTCCTGAGACATCGCAACGGATTGCAACGGAAAATAGTATTCGTCTTATATCTAAAGTACTAAAAAAAGCAAAAACAATTGATAACAAAAGATTTGTCAATTATTAAGTTGTATTTATTTTTTTTTTTTAAGATCTTCTGCTGTGATGACATCACCTTCCAAACCTTTAGCGGCCAACATTAATTCATATAACTGAACGACTTGATCGTCATTTAACATTTCCACACATTCAGCATCCAATTCGTCGCCTAATTTACCAAAAGGCTTGCCTTTAATACCTAATTGTTTGGTAATAGTAGCGGCATATTTCTGTAGGCAGAGATTAGATAAGAAAATAATAAAGTCAAATAGAAGATGTGAAAAATTATTAGTCAAAAACCCACCGCCCACTCTGTCATAAATAATTGCGCTTCCATTGGCGAACATTTTAAATGTCTCCGAAATTCATCTCTTACATATTTATCACCCAACTCTTTCAATTCTTCCGGCAATCCTTCGATTTTAAGTGAAAATTTAAGATTGGTTTCTTTTTCTGTTTGTTTTTCTAATTGTTACCTCGATGTAGTCTTAAAACGGTTTTATATAATAAACGTACTTTTTGGGGATGCGTTAATTGATCTATTATAAGTTTAGACATAATTCAATGTTTAATAATAACGCTTTAAACGAAACAACATGTAAAAACATTATTTATTGTCAAAATATGTCAACATATGCCAGCTTCTCTTCATGGTAGTGTTGGAAAGGTCAATTTTTTTGTTACGATCTAGACTAATAATGTGAATGAAAGCGAACTAAAGTGTTAAACAGAAAGAATGCCTTTGCATCGTACATATTTTGGACATATAAGCACCAAATCTATTGGGTTAGTCTATATTTACTCAACAAACAAAAAAAAAAAAAAATGGATCGTAAATAATGTAGTTTAGGCAACAAAACTTTCGTATGGCGATTGATTAATTTATTTAGATTTTGTTCTTGCAATTTTAATTTTTGTGATTATTGGGATTTCTTATATTCAGGTGCTATGGGAATTATACCTGTTATGTATTTTTATTATTAAACCTAAGACTGCATATAGCACGTCTGCATGGTGCAAGCAATAGCGATTGTTAGTGAGCAATAACACTACAGTAAATATTAGTTAATCCGTAAGGTACTTACGTTTTCTCACTATGAAATTAATATTTTTGTTTTTATAAAAAGATTCTTCGAATGTCGAATTTCATTAAAATATCTCAAAATTGCGACCAGTAGCTTGAGCTCAAATTTACGTGGACAGTCATAAGACGGGCAGATGGACGGACAGACAGACAGATTCGTATAATAAAAGATGCGTCCATCTTAAATCTTTCTGCGCTTACTTAATATACCCTGAACCACAAGTGATGTAGGTATAATTTTCAATAATTCACGCTGAAAATTAGTTCGTAATGTAAAATTGGCAAATAAGTCCACCTTACCCAACTTGGAAAGAGGATACCTTTTTATTGATACCATCTCATGTAATGTAAATCTTTATAAACCAAAAATATCTAATTGTTAATGTTTTATACTGATAATCTGTTCATTATAATAACTTGGCATAAAAATTATTGGAATTACATTTTAAAAACTTGGTTCTCTTTTTTGAATCCGACTCCATAAAGATTTTTCATGAATAGTAAAGCCTCTAGAGAAAGGTTTGTTTTTTAATATTTTATGATAATGTAGGGTATAGCTACGATTAGAAGCCATGCCCATAACCTTGCCGATAAATAAGCCCTTCTTATGGGAGATATTCTCGCATTTTCTAACTCGAATTTCTGAATATCTCAAAATTATTCATAATAATAGAAACCCTATAAAATCTTTAAGCAGATTGTATGACCTTTAGCAATTTGTGAACAAACAGAATGCCGATATTGCTTTTCCATGTGAAACAAAACTCAATTCAATCTACAATGTTAAGCTTCATAACAACGACATTGTCTGTAGTTTTTTTTTTATTTCACCAACCACTTAGTATGGCGGACGGAGGAAAAGAAGAAAGAAATTTATGCACTTATTCGACTTGAAACTCGACTAAAATGGTCGATCTGAAAGAGCTACACTAGAAGTGCCTGGAGCATATCCTTGTTCCCCCAAATACGATCTCGTAGATTTTCATATGGTTTCGATGGGAAGAAGCCGTCGAAATCTTAGGAAAGATATCTTAAATTTTCGGAAATAGTTCCGAATTTCATATAAAATATTTTAACATAACACAGCATTTTTGTTAACTCATGTTATTTTTATTACAATTTTTTACGATTATTATTTGCTTTAGACTAAGAATCCACAATATTTAAAAAAATTTATATGAATCTAAGCTGTTTGTGTACTCACGGCCGTTTTCAAACAAATTAGACATGTTCATGTCGAATTGGAACTAATTCAAACAAGACTTGTAAGGGAAAATGCCACATTTCGAAGTGGACGCAAAACAATTTTTTTTTAATTTTAAAGCATATAATTTTTTTCTCCAGAAAAAAAATTGTGCACGGACATTTTTTAACAAATTTCACTAAAAAAATAAGTGCTGCTTTCTATAAAAATTAAGAACAATTTGCACGCCAAATGATTAACTGGTGATTAACTAGGCGTAGTAGCAAATAATCTGCAAATTCAATTCTCGAAAGAATTCAGGAAATACACTTAATAAATACAGTTAGTAATGATTTTCATTGCAATAATTTTAATTTATTTTTTCACCTCACTTCACTACCACTAAAAAATATCAGCTGTTGCTGTTCTTCCCGCCATAGTGCATGCGATAGCAATCGATAAATTTACTTATTTTTCTTCTTCTTTGAGTCAGCAAAGTAACTTCATGTACAATATGTTCGGGTATTATCAAATTTTTTACTTATTACCTAAAAGAAGAAGAAGCATTGAAAATATTTTTGCAGAAAAATTGTTAAAAGAATTTAATAATCGTCGCAAATGTCTACCGATAAAGAAAAATTGGAAAAAACAAAAATTAGTTCACAAGTGAAACATGTGCCGAAAGATGCCCAAGTTATTATGTCAATATTAAAAGATTTAGGCATACAAGAATATGACAAGAGAGTAATTAATCAATTGCTTGAATTCACCTATCGTAAATATAAAATAGTTTGGCTATTCAGTCTGCCCCTGTATGTTTACACAATACTTTTCTTTTTTAGGCTATGTAACCTGCATACTGGATGATGCTAAAGTCTTTGCCAATCATGCTCGTAAGAAAACTATAGATTTGGATGATGTTAAATTAGCTACCGAAGTTGTGCTAGATAAAGCATTTACTTGTCCGCCGCCTAGGCATGTAAGTACAAAATTCTTCATTTAGAGCCTGCGACCTCTTAAATTTCCCAACGCTCTTTTTTTTTTATTTTCAGATTTTATCTAAATTAGCAGAAGTACGCAATACCATGCCTTTACCACCTATTAAACCTCACTGTGGTTTACGTTTGCCACCGGACCGTTATTGCTTGTCGGCTTGCAATTATAAACTTAGAGCAGTTAATCAACCTAAGAAAATGGTTAAGAGCGCTTTAGAAGGACGGAGTACTATTAAAACTCAAATTAAGGGGGCGAATATTGGTCATGTCGGTATAAGCGGTGCAAAGAGACAAACGATATCTGCTGCTAAAACACAAGTAGTCACAATACCGAAACCAGTTATTAAATTTACGACCACAGCCAGAAACGTTTCAATAGACAGTAAATCGTTGATGAACAACAGCATATCTTGTCAAGACTCTTCCATGGCTGATCTTAAAATGGAAGTGGATGGCGAAGCAACGGCTGTTGTTAGTATATCAAATAGTTCGGTATCAGTGTTAGGCGGTAGTCTCAAGCGAGAACGTGAGGAAGATGAATTTGAAGTAGTTCCGTAGCTTTAAATATTTCAATAAAAATTTTATTTTCATATCTGTAATTATTTCTCTTTCAAAAGCAATATCATAGCGCAACCTAAATCCATAGCTTGTAAGTATTCCGAGCCACCATCTTGCAAACGATAAGAGCTTTCACCTGCTTTATCGCAAATACGTGCTTTTTGCATATCGGTTAAGGAAGGAGATCTCAAGACGTATTCATTAAATTGTTCCAGCATTTGCCCAATGCTGTAAGCCTCATAGAGTAGATCGTTGACAAATTCCTCTAATTTAATATAATCTCCTGAACGGCATACTTCCAAATAGTCTTCTATATAGTGTTGCGGCAACATGCCCGACATCTCAAAAAGATCATTTTTAGATATCTTGTGCTGGGCACCCTTAAGCCTATAGCAAGACTGCAAAGTGGTTATAGCTCTACGCATATCTCCACCAGACACCTCAACAATGGTCTTGAAAGCTTCCTCTTCTATCTGAACGCCTTCTAAACCGCAAATATATTGCAAACGTTCTACAATTTTCTCTTCTTGCAAAGGTTTAAAACGAAATTTAGTGCAACGCGAAGTTATCGGCTCAATTATGCGCGAAACGTAATTGCAAACTAGGCAAAAGCGAGTACTGCGACTTTCCTTCTCCATAGTACGCCGCAAAGCAGCCTGAGCAGCATGTGTCATTGAATCGGCCTCATCGAGAATTATAATTTTAAAGGGCGGGCAATACCGACCATCCGGGCGTGTGCTACTAGCTGTTAATTGTGCGAAATTTTTGATTTTTGTTCGCACTACATTAATACCGCGCTCATCGGAAGCGTTAAGTTCCAGAATACGGTCACGAAACATATCTCCAAATATTTGACGGGCAACTGCCAATATTGTGCTAGTTTTTCCAGTACCGGGAGGACCGTATAAAAGCATATTCGGTAGGTCGGAACCTTCAACACATTTACGTAAAACCGCTACAACTTCGGATTGTTCCACAACATCTTCAACTGTTTTAGGGCGACTGCAAAGAAACTTCATCTTAGCAACTACTCTTTCCCAATAGTTTACTTTGTCACCTACTATTTTTCCACCCAAGGTGTTGGTGTTTTACGACGCCCACTTTGCCCACTTTGATGACCACTAGATGTACTAGGTTGTTGACTTTTGTCAAATCCTGTAGTTTTGCCAGTTTTTAGAAAAGCTTGCATTTTTATTCACAAATTTTTTCTTGACAATACACAAAAACAAAAAATCATTTCAAAAGAAAAAGGCGCAAAAATCCACTTTATTAAATAAACAAAATTTCGCATTAATCAACACTGCTGTTAACAAGAAAACATCTGTTTATTCTATTTAGCGTTTGACAACACTCCAAGTGCTGTATTTTTTTTTTTTAATGATGTGTCAAATTCCCTGTTTTGTATCTAGTAGCTATTTTATAAAAATTAATGAAAGAAATTCCTAGATCAGACAATTTAAATAATCGTAACTTCCTCTGAAATGGATTTGACTCATCTTTTCAAAGCTAGTGTTATGACAGTCAAATTACAGCGTAAAGGTCAATTGAACTCAGCTCAGCGTATTCTTAACAAATCGTTGGCGTTTAATGGAAGACGTGAAAGACGTGATGAATTCTCCCAACAAGTGAAAGATATTTGCCATAAAATCACTAATTTGCGTAATGTTCTTGTTGAGAGTCGTTCAGCCTATATGCGTATTGGCCAGCATTTGAAAAGCGCTGCTCATATGACCGATGAACAACGAGATCTTATCGACCGTGAATCGGAGAAATTCTTCACCTATTATACACAATATTTAGGGCAATTGCGAACGGATTGGAAGAAAGTGAAAAGAAAACCGCAACAACGTGAACACATGGAAGCTGTTATGGATTTATTGTGTTCCTATTTAAAATGCGTGCAGCAAATTTACCAGGAACAGAAAAAATACCGAGCACAGTACGAATTAGAAACTTATCGTCTCTTGAAATTAGCAGCTGATAAGAAAAAGATACCCGTACGGCCAGCTGGTGAGCTTAGATCAAGGAAAACAAGTATTGCCAGCAGTGCGGCCTCATCCACAACGCAAAGCTTGCTTTATTCACAAGAAGAATACGGCCCTTCTGAAAAATCTTTCGATGACGATTCGACTGAAGGTTGGGACTTGGATGAAGACGATATAACTGCACCAGAACATAGTGACAAGAACAAGGAATTTTGCATTAACCGACCTTTATCTGCGACTTCATTAAATGACAGCAAAGCAAAAGTAGCTTTAAATGAAGATATACAACAAACTCAAGAGCAGCAGCTGGCAGATGAAACGGAAAAAGACTTGAAATCTGATGATATACAAATGTTCGAAGAGGAAAATATGCAACTGTATCAAGAATTACAAGGTCTAGCCGAAGAAGTAGAAGCCATTGAAAAGAATGTGGTGGATATTGCTAATCTGCAGGATATATTCACTGAAAAGGTAAATGAGTTCTTTGTTACAAAAAAGTCATAAAAGCAAGTCTTACTTTCATCCTTATAGGTTACGCTGCAGCAGCATAATATCGAGCGTATAGTTAACGCTGTCATCGGTTCTACGGAAAATGTTAAAGATGCCAACGAGCAAATCAAGCAAGCAATACAACGTAATGCCGGTTTACGTGTATGGTCATTATTTTTCCTTCTAGTAATGTCATTCGCTTTACTCTTCCTCGACTGGTACTACGATTAGTTAGGCTTTATAAATAAATTATCAAGCTAGGGTCTTGTTTAGTTAGTATAATTAATTATATTATTTCATTTATTTCTTATTTTGTACTATTCATGTATTATAGTTGGACCGTTTTGTTATTAGCTTTAAGTAATAGTTACATTTCCTTTTAGAATTTAAGTATGTTTTAAAACGGAAATATATTGCAATAAAAACAGTCTTAAAGAGGAAAAGGTACTAAAGGCTGCATAAACACAATCAATAGAATAGCTCAAGCTTCAGAGATCGCTTAATTAATTAAAATGAAAGTAACCTTCGCATTCATTAGTAATTTTGAATACACTTATGTCCATTTGAATTACGTCAATACTCCAGGAAGATTGCTTGTAATTATTGATGTGGAGTAAGTTTTCCTCCCACAAATTTCAAATGACTAGAAAAGTGAATAATTTTGATTGCAAGGTAATAGACTGTTTTCAACCTTGAATTAGAATTTTAGACGTGCTCTTTCACCGGTTCGTGGACGGATGGACAGACGAACAGACGGACTTGCTTAGGTGCATTCAGATTTCGAAAACGACCAATTGTTAAGATACTTTATCATACTTTATGATTTATATACTTTGAAGTTTGCTTCTGCCCATTATAAAGCCATTGAAAATAAAATTAAGTTTTCATACACTATAATGTTCGATAGGCGTGCTCAATTTTTCTAATTTTTGTACAGCATTACCCGCAGAGAATATGTTCAAATTTTTGCGGACTTATCTATTGCAGTTTATGAGTAATGAGAAAAAAAGTCAAATGTTTAATCCTTTTGAAAAACGGAGATGTCCTCACTTGACGTGGTACTGTAAGTGCATCCCCCGACCGACTTGGAGGATTTTCTACACTAACCTGCGTACGAATACTTTCAATGCTTCTGCCAAGTTTGAAGACGACAGCTGCATTCTTGCCGTCGAAAGAATGTTTGCAACAGAGCGGACAGATGGACATGCTTAAATCGGTTTACAAGTTTATGTTGATCACGAATATTATAGCTTTTCGGCGTCGTAAGTGTTTTGCTAAAATGAATGTATCCGCCCTCCTTCGTCGATGAGTATAAGAAAATGGGCAAATTCAATGCACGTTCTATAGTGAATAGACTAAATCACTCTCCTTAAATTGGAATTTTCTAACTCCTTTAGGAAAATTGAACCTTTAAATCTGCTTTGATAACATCAGTACATCTCCTTAAGTAGCTAGTCAGTGTTAAGCTAATCTAATCTAAGATTAAAACAAGTAAAAAGACTATAGTGGGTCACGACCCACAATAAAATAACCTATCTCATCCTACAATTCTTCATGGAATTATCTTTCAAAGTAAGGCGTTACATAGAAAGTGGTCCGATTAAAAAACATGTTCAATACCGTTTGCCATTGTATCAAATATGTAAAAAATTTCCAGCATCCTCGCAATGGACAGACGGACAGAGAAGCTTAAATCAATTCAGAAAGTAGATCTGAATCGATCGATATAATAAAAGATGTGTCTATTGCAGGTTTTTCTGAGTGTTACATAAATGCGCACCAACTTCATATAGCCCTGTACCGTAATTGGTGTAAGGTAGTCATACTATAGCTTTTGTACTTTTCAAAGAACAACGAGGTATTATTATCTATTTAGCCAGAGAAATAAATTGTAAGACCAAAGTCCTAAATCTCTACCATCTAAAGCAGCCGCGGCACTTTTAAAAACTCTACCGCACTTGAGACTCGAACCCACGACCATTGATTGGTTAGTCGAGACTCTAACTCAACTCCCAATGTTTAAAATGATAATTAGAATTTCCGGTTTTTTTGTTTCTTTTGTTTAATTTACCGCAACACTTTATAAAATTTATTTACTTAATTATTGTTATTATTATTATTATTAATTTTTTTTTTGTTTTGTTTTGAAATTTTCTAACTGAGAAGAACATATAATAAATTATTAAAATATTTTAAATTATTATTATATCATATTTATATGGTTTCATATGCATATTTTATACATAGGAATATATATCTAATATCTAATACTTATATATGTAAAACAACTTCAATTGATTGAAGAAAACATCTTATTTAAGTATTGTTAAATTGAAAGCTAAGTACGTACATAGCTAACCAAATGAACAAAGGCATTTCTTATTATGTAATCATGTAATCATAATAATCATAATAATAATAATAATAATAATAATGATTGAAGCACACGTACACATATATAAATTCCAAAAAAAATATCTGAACATAAAGAAAAGGATCAACAAACAATGATGGAAGAAGTCTATTATATTGCTTGTTGGTCTGTATGCTTTGATTTGCATAAAATACTAAAGAAATTTATTTATTTATTCATTTAATTCTCTTTTTTTTTCTGAATTGTAATTGGTTTTGTTGTCATTTTGGTATACGCGCTTACATACAAGTCCTTATCGTCACAGCACTGTCTAATGTTGATAATGAAAAAAATGGACAGAAAATATGAAAAGAAGAAATATTGAATGATAAATGGCTGTATAGAGAGAGTATGTTGATTACATACACATTGTTCTCTTGCACTTTTGGTGAACAACTTACCATAATAATTCGATTGCAGGATAACTAGATTGTCATCCCATTAACGAACAATATTTTATTAAGTTTTTAATAAGTTTGTGCAGAGGTATGTAACACTTAGGACTTGAGAATTTTTGTTTTGTTGTACTGGCCATACATTTCATTGAACCTTTTCTTTCCATCTTATGTATCTGTGTTCACCCTATACGACTACCTATAGTATGGTATAGAGCATAATATTAGGCCCTGATCCAGTATAGGGTTTTTTTATTTGTTAAAATTAAATAGTATGAAATTTTTATATTCAACTCGAACTCGAACGCGAATAAGATTAATTTGGATTAGAAAGCTTAAAAGGTTTTCTAGGTATTGCTGTTGTTGCTGTAGATCTGAGATTAAGCAGAAATGAAAGTCTACTCGCTTCATGCCTATCTAAGAAAGATCTGCAAGAAAATCACACACGCACACACAGTCACACAGTCAGTCATCGTAAGGCGCTAGGCATTGTCATAACGGATGAAATGCTAAGACTACTAAGGACTCTTTGATTCACTCACACACATTGTATACCAAAATGGGCAACTCTTTCAGTCGTTGTGTAGAAAGTTTAGTACATAATTGGAGTATTTTAGGCAAGTCTTTATCAGAGAACAAAGCAGTAAACATACTTAAGTTGAAAATGATTTCTTCTTACCAGAGAATTATGATCATACATATCTATATAGTTCAATACATAAAAAGTCTTACGGCTAATTCTCAATAAGGCTTAAATAGAGTTATGAAATAAATTGGAAGCTTAGAGTATTCGACGCTTACAATAGATTAGGTTTACATAATTATTTTCGATTAATCTGTACGAAGTCTCATGATCAATTAAAATATATTTTACCAGAGATCAAACCTTAAATGGAAATATAAAGTATTGATACAAAACCGATTAGTTTCGGATTCAATTGTTCAATGCTATGATAATAAATATGATTACATACATATTATTCGTACCCATACGAATATGTAAAAAAATCTTGCGAACAATTGCAAACGATAACTCAAACTAAATTAAGGTATAGAGAAGAGATCGAAGATTAAAGAAGAAAAGATTTGAAGTTAAAAACTTTAGATTGGGCCATAAGCGCGGGTGCTGTTAGTAAGTAGTATTAATGGGGTTTAATATTCTCGATTTTCTTTCCTTTAAAGCAAAAATTAATAATAGTTTGAGCAAAGATTAGAAAAAGTTTTAGAGTAGCTTTTTCACCTTCACTGGGATTTAACTCGCTGGTGTGTTCCAATTTAGTTCATCTTTCGCGATTGATTTACATACACTTACAGTCTGATAATACCTAAAAATGTCTCTTACTTTATTTGTACAATTTCTCATAATCGTAATATACTTCTTGAATTAACTTCGTCGACAAGTCTTGAAACTCTTGAAAAAATCAGGTTGAATTATTTAACATAAGTGTTGAGACAAGTAGGTAAGAAGCCATCTTTTGTGATGGTTCGTCGTAAAACGGCGAAATCTTATACGCCGTTAGCAAATTGCCTAATAAATTATCTCATACAAGTCAAAGATAAAGTTTATTTTGGTCGCAGTAATGGAGTAAGTGTTTAGTCGGTAAAGGTATATTCCACAAACCTAGACCTAGACTGCGGCAGCTTCCCTATCCCTTTCATTTCAGTTCTTTCCGACCATCACCATGTTGCACGAATAGGAGACATTCCCTGAGTTGAAAGGTCGAATATTGTTTCAATACCATCAACCCTTTCCCTTACCTTCACATCAGACAGCAGCTTGACCAATATCATTTTGTCTACTTTCCGATTTGATAAACGCTACTACTTGCAACATATCTTACAACATCATGCAAAAATAACGTAGCTCTTTGAATGTTGTTTAGTTCAAATATTTTCTTTTCATTGTTAGCTGTGCACACGCACTTAACAGTAACACCTTACACCACTTATAGGTACGGGATATATTAAAATTGTTGGGATAACATGATATCCAGAAGAATTTGACAAATAGACCCATCTTTTATTATAACTATTTTCTCTGTCTGTCTGTCCATCCGTCCATGTTTTTTTTATTTGTTCTACAGGGTACTTTGACGAACTTTGATGCATCGAAGACCAATTCTGTTGAAAATAATTCTAACTGCGCCACTTGTTCGACCACTTCTCTTTAAGTCCTTATAAAAAGCATTATGAATAATTGTATTAAGGAAAGTGGAGTTGGGTAACTTCTCGTATCGACTTCAATGCTTTTTTTGTTCAATTTACATTTCTCTCAAAAAGATTAAAATCGTTTAATTCGATGCTCACTTAGGGACTAGAGTTACATTTTTATTCAAGTCAATATAAGAGAAAGAAAAATTCAACTATTTCAGTCAATATTTAATTCAGGAAACAAACCTTGAAGAAAAAAGTGAAAAATAAATTAAAAACTATTCTATATAAGGAGACCTCATAAGGCGGCTATTTCTGCTTTTTTTTTATATTAAGGATAAGTAAATTATTATGAACCAGTGAAGTAATGAAAATTCCTTATATTATTATAAATTCGCCCACGAAGATAGTCTCTATTAATGTATAATATATACATCGGAGAAAGAGTAAGATGGGATAGTAATAGATTTTATAAAGATATTAAAACTCCAAATATTCCTATTCTATCAGTTAAACTCTAAGCTGGCAGTTAAATCGCCTAATGTTGCGGTTATTGAAAGTTTTATGGCAAGAAGAAAACTATTGGTTCTATTCTGAGACCTACAAGTCATTAGCATTTTCTTATAAGCAAGAATGAGGGTTATATTCATTTTGTCAAAACTGTTGCAACGCCCAGGCGCTAACGAATTCTTACAGAACGGGGAACTCTTCTAAAAGCCGGAATTATGGAAGGAGATTTCATTTTAACACGAAGTCGCGAAATAATCTCTCGCATAACACGCTACTTCTACAACATAACATAACGGCATTTTTGTTTGGCATTATTTAGAAAATTACTTTACGCTACATCGATCGGAGGAGATATGACCATTGGGGACGTTTAAGAATTGTTCGTCGAAGAAGAAGTAGCCAAAGCAAATGGCTTTTGAAGTAAATTCAATAATTCTGATAAAAGATTGTAGAGAGTGGGCTTGGCAAAAAACCTAGAATTGTTTTTCTTGAGTGCAGATTCTTCCTCGAAAAGAAGCTTAAACTTCAAAATGGAACTGCAAAACTGCTCGTAAGCAAGCAAAGCTAGCTTGTAAATTTAAAAAAAAAAAAGATAGCAGCAGGACCAAAATCTAAAAGAACGTTCAAAAAGCGATGATAATATTTGTTCAACCAAACAAACATTCGTATTTAATTGTAATGCGCATCGATGACAAAGAAAACTATTAAATAAAGCTTACGTCGTGCATACATACTTTTTGTTTTGTTTCCTAATAGAGATAAAATAATTTTTATTGAATTTCAAAAGAAATTTTTTTATGCGGACATAAAAAAAAGTGAAATATTTTTAATATCTTTTACGACGTTACTTTTCCTTCGTGGGATTGCCATCTAATCTCATATAACACTGATTCGCACAACATCGGTCCTATGGGAACGTGTGTGCCGTGTTATAGGGAGGTTACTTGTACTCTTATTAGAATATAAAATGCAGTTTTTGAGAAAACATATATTCAAGTACGAATTTTGGATAAAAATAGGAACAAAACGAGAAAAAGGAACAGGGCGCAATAGCAAAAACTACAGCTAACCCTCCACTGACGGGGTAGATAAGTTGCCAAGGTGCAGCTATTTTCTTCTCGCGTTAAGAATATCGTGTTATAGGAGGTTTATCTGTACATAAGCACGAGCGTATGTACGGAAGCAAAGCAAAGAAACTGAACACAGATCCATACATATATAAGCCACCGTGTTGCAGAACACCGTATTATAGAAGGTTCACCTGTACATAAGCTGAAGCCTACAAACTGAACACAGTTCCTACATATAAACCACCGAGTTGCAAAATACCGCGCTATAGGAGGTTTACCGGTACATAAACACGCGCCGGTGTGCAGAGGCAATGCAAAGAAGTTAAAGACATGCTTTATAGATATGGGCCACGGATATTCTCTATAGTAAATGAGCAATTTAATGAAATACAATTACAGGGAGTTTCAGAAAGCAAACGAATTTCCAAAATTTAATAAACTAACCAGATTAACAGTGATTATATATGCGTCTTTCTCTGTAAATATGTACTTACATATATATATATATATATATATATATATATATATATATATATATATATATCTCCACACATATGCATATAAACATATACCAACATATATAAATATAAACACACATCCATATATATAGATATATATATATGTGTGTGTGGATGTGCGTCTTCGTTGCGTGTACGAAATAATTTAACAATTAAGAAATTCCTATATGATGCAAGCTTCTATACCAAGTGTAAATGTAAGGGTTGCAGACTATACATTATAAACACAAGCATATATGCAGGTATACACGCGCTTGTGTATGTATATGCTTATAAGTGTTTGTCCATGTATACATATGCATATATATATATACCTATATTCATATATAAACACATTCATATATAAACACACACACACATATATATATATATATATAAACTTATACTGCATTAAGAGTCGCTATGACAATTTGTTCAAAAACCATATAACTAGATAAACGTAAAAATGTAATTGAAACACATTTCAAATAATTTTCTAAATCAATGTTACTTGAGAGCCATCGTCTATGAGTTTTCGAGTTTTAACCGTATTGTATCTCTCTAATTAAATTCATTGGAAATTCGATAAATGTAACCAAAGAGATTAAAAAAAGAAAAAAGCAAAAAGAACGTGAATAATTTTTCAAAATTAAATAAAAAACACAAACAGCCTTTAAAGATTAATTTCATTAACGTCTAAGTTCAGTTGTGGTAGAATGATGTGCGTTGAAAGGCGGATTATGCAGTTGTTGTATTGGTGCCAGCGGTGGTGGACGTGACGAGCACGGCGAGGGCTGGGGCGATGGTGACGGTGCTGCAGCGATTATTGCTGCTTTGGCTTTTGCAGATGTCGTCGTAGTTGAAGATGCTATTTGACCGATTTCTGTTGCCTTCAAATTTGCTGCTAATATTTTGCCATCTTGACGACTTGTTGACATGGCCAAGTGGGCGTTTGTAAGAACTGGAATTAAATAATACAGAAGAAAAGGAGGTTTTAAAATTAACTTTTTTTTTTTTTCTTTTTTCTCTCTCAGATATAATTTATAATTTGTTGGAGAAAAGTCGATGAAACATTAATCGAGATTGAGATTAGATGACGGCAAAATCAAAATATTTACAATTATGCGATATATGTGGGATAGGTAAACATAATGTCTCTAATAACGTTAGGCGGGTGAAACTAGGACTCTCTCTCAAAGTGCGGGTCTTAACAGTGACCTGAGTCACTCGAATTGACCAAATGGTCAACAGTTGTTAGACAAAGAGAAGAAGAAATAGTTGAATTGTCTATAACTTGACGACAAGTTTTCTGATGGATGGGGGCAAAAATTGTGATCGTTTTCGTAAAACACACGAAAGGAGTTCGTAAAACATCGTAAAAGAATGCGACAGAATATGTATTGATAAACTTTTATAGACTTCTTTCTCCCTCTCTCTCCCTTCATCTCTTCCTCTCCTCTTCATCTTTTTAGATATAACAAGTAGGTCAATGGTTTTGGGCTGTAAACGGATCATGCATTTGTATTATCTAAGCGACTCTAACAATGCCGATTCATATCAATTCAGTGGCTTGTAGGGTAGCCTAGTCTACTATATATGTGTACACACTGGGGAGAGAGAGAGAGAGAGAGAGAGAGAGAGAGAGAGAGAGAGAGAGAG